CACTCAACAGTATGTACACCAATGACCTGGTCAGTTTCTTCAATAGTTTCAACTCACACTTACAAGTAATGTACAAGGTGCAATTGATAGGTTTGGAGTGATGAATGGGCCAAGAAGGCACTGGATTGGGCAAAGTCTCCAGAGTACAGTGAAAATGTAGATCCTGATTTGGTTGTTGCAGGAAGGGGGTTAGCGCCTGCTTTATTACAGCTTTTTCCTTTTCACCAGTCTTTTCACAAATTTTCAGCTTGATTGTCAATGCGAGTGACAAGCCAGTATGGCAAAAAATACTCGACGTCTTAGAAGGCCAGTTTGATGAAGCAGAAGCAGAGGTGAGTCGGCGGCGTTGAGGCTGTTGAGTTGCAAGTAAATTCCCAGTTTTTTGTGAAGTTTAAGAAAAAGGCTAACAATATCGACCCAACTCTTCCGAAAATGTTTCAAAAAGCACGGCGAGCCATGATAGGTCTTAGAAGAAAGCCGCGCACCTCAGCTCTTCATTCTAGCCCTTGCATTATAATTTGTATCGAGATACAAGNNNNGATGATTACGTCACTGCTGTATGTCTCTATGCAAAACAGTAAACTATCCGCATTTCTTCTTAATGTCTCAATAAATTAGTTGAAGAAGTGAAGCACAAAATGTCATTTGTTTCAAAACAGTTGCGTGAAATAGCATGGAGTGGTAGTCGAGGCTGTATGGCTTGCATACTTACGTTCAATAGTTTTACAAGCGTTTCTGCAGTACAATGCTGCACAAACCGTTGTGTGGCGGAAAAGTTTCATCTTCAAGTGAGAAGGCTACCAATCCGACAGGAAAGACTTGAGGTGCATTTCCCCCGAGCAATTATCGATCCTGGGTTGATCTCCGGTTTATCCATAGTTAGAGGAATCACACGAGCTAATCCTGGTATGTAATATATTCATTCCCAATCTTTTTGAATGTTTAAAGAGCAATACTGCACTCAGGTTGGAGGGGTGTGTTGCGATTCGTGCGAGTCTGGGTGCGCGCGACAAATCGCGCGGCGAAATTCGGTGCGATTTGGACGACTGCAGCGTCTACCATTAGGGCTCAAATTTGAAGTAAAGTAGGACCCTACTAAAATACTATAGTCCAAGTTTGTGCCCTAGTGATAGGCGCCAGAGTTGTTTGAATCATCGCGAATTTCGCCGCGTAATTTTCCGCGCGCGCCCAGAATTGCACGAATCGCACGTCCCCCAGGTCGGAGTGATGCTCATATGAGCCATCCGCTTCTAGGAGACCTTAGCAATTGCCTCACCTTGTTCGCCCCATTTGATGTCTAAAATATGCTGACTCGATAAGAAAAACATGCCCTACCTTACCGCCCTACCTCGGCGTGGGCGCCTAAAAAAAGTCTCTTTTTTGTCTTCTGATTGGGAGCGTTATGACTTTCTTTTTTAGTAAGAGTTCTTGTAAGTAAATAAAGCGGTGCGCAGAGGAAGGTATCAGGAAGGTGGTCATGAATAGCAGCTGCTATTTCTATTTCTACTATTTCTTGAGCACGACAAATTAAGCACACCAACTATTCACAGATGACCTGGCACTATTTTCCCTTTACTGCCCCACTCTGTCGAAAAAGGGCTGGATTTCTATCGAATTTTTTCAAAGAAGATGAAACCGGCTAGAAACTTGCCTACAGGGGTATCTTGACCCGTAGAACACGAATATCGCATCCACCCATCATGAAAACACCTGGGACCCTAGTTAGGGGCAAGTTTTCAGCAGGAGCGGTGACTCAGCGATTTGGCGCAGGCGTCTGTAGCGCAAGCGCTAGGAATATTCATGACAAATGGGTACAATATTCGTGCTCTACAGGTCAAATTACCCCTGTAGGCAAGTTTCTAGCCGGTTGCATCTTCTTTGAAAAAATTCTGTAGAAATCCAGCCCATTCCCGACAAGGTGGGGCAGTAAAGGGTAAATAGTGCCGATGACCTTGTCAAGCTGTATCTGGCACTCATAACAGTGTTAGTTTAAGCATTAAATATGGTGATAAATGTTTGTTTGTGTGATTCTAGCGCTTTACAACAAAATAAAGGGTAGACTTCGGCCATCTGTGCTTGTGCTGTTCCAGCCGAGGGGTGTAAATCATTCTGAGCATCAGGTAGAAGCACCGAGAAGGGTGAGATGATTACCCCGGGCGGAAAACTGAAAACTTGACCACTCCGGCGCTTCTCCCCTTCTGAGACTCGGTTAAAAAATTGCATATAACTGGTATAATACGGAAATAACACGTAGCACCTATTAATTCCTTGGTATACTAACGCTGATATAAGTGCTCCCCTAACTACATTGTCACCGGTCGAACTCGTGTGTAGGAACCTTTTGAACGATTACTCGCAAGAATTGAGTAGTAATGCAGCTTACTACTATGGAGAGCTCAGGTGCAACTTCAACCTTTTTTGTGTTCATCGTTTGTTACTTGAAATATATGCTTTGAAGAACGAATCGTAAGTGGACAACCTAGCAAAAATTTGATTTTTTGTATTGGAGGCCAATCTTCTTTCCCTGCGCAAATCGGCAATATGTCTATGAGGAGAATGTGCAACCAAGAAAGGCAATATTAGGAAACTAATGAATTGGCACAAAATCTTGCCTCAGTTTAATTTTGCAAGCCGAAACATATTGAATGGCTCAGAAGTATACGGCTCATATCTCAACTTCACATTAGATATTATATTAATTCTGGTTATTTTTACTACTTCAACATAGAAGAACCAAGTGTTGCCGTAATTATGTGCATTAACTCGCGAGCAACCTAGGACCGATTGTCGCATGGAGTCACAGTTCAAGATGATTTTGGAGCCTTTAGTTAAAAACGAATAGGGAAGCGGTAGTCTAGAACAGAGCAAGAAAGACGTAGAGAACGCGAAAAACCGTATTTATAGAGATATAGAGCTTCGAAAAGTACGGCTTGGATGAAATGTAACGACAAAATTCGCATCGTGGGCGTGTTCGGACGAGGTGTTCCAACGTGTGTGCCATTGCATACAGCTGGCTACAGTAAGCTGCTTGTGTGCAACGTGCGCGTTCCGGTACGAATGGTGCATCCTCTACAGCCTCCTCAGCGCCGTGAGAACTCGTCCAGTTTCGAGGCCCTTGATACGTCCTATCCAGTCTTTTTTCAACCTAACTGCTTCTCTTGTGCTAGCCTTTTGGTTCACAGGCAAGCGATAGTCTGGGAATAGAGCACGATTGCAGATGATGTAATCTATTTCATCCGGTGACTCTCAAGTCCATCGCAAATAAGAGGGTCGTCTCTAAAATTGCCGTTTGCTTACCGGTCGGATTTCAAACCAGCCCATTCCATTAGGTTTTGGTAGTCCCAATGTGACGCTTTCCAGCCGTTTCTCTAGGTCCAAGTCTGGTTCTAGGCACCAACGATGTCCTTGGAAAACAATGGTCCCTTCCGTAGAGCTTTCTATGTCCATATGTAACAATTCTAGCTGCTCTCAATCGTAGCTTGATGTTAGTGCGTAGGCATCAAAGATGGCAAAGCTGTGTGGTGTCACTATTCTCTATCGCAAGCTTCCATTGCAATCGAGTCAATTCGAATCGGAAACTTCGAAAGTTTTCGAAAGAATCGGTGTTCACCACCAAGTGCCTGTTGACGAGAACGCGTATCCACCGCCGACGGCTCCGCTGTCCTTCGCCATCCTAGCGTGTTCTAAGGAACGGTTCTGTCTTAAGCGTGCAGCGCCTCCCCGTCTGGATCAGCCCATATTTGAAGTTCCCTGCTTGCACCTCGACAATACGCTTTCGATGCAAGCGCTCGTGCATTGAATGTAAGAAACATCGCTCTCCCAGCCCTTCCCCACTCTGTTACGATCCAGAGATTTTAGCAGCCTCTTCCGAGCGATCCTACTCAACGCTGCTGTATTTGGGACTTCCTCACGTCTGAGGGAACAAGACCCATTCATACTACTGTTTTTGGCATAAAGGTACTCACGAGTTGCTTGCCAGACTATGCCGTGGACGATAGGTAGACTGCTGGTAGCCATCTAGGTTTACCCAGGGTGGATGATAAAGGAGTTGGCTATCGAAGGCGGCCCCAAATCACCTTTCGGGGTACTCCTCATGCACTCGAATGCAAGCTTTTTCTTAGCCGATGTGTAGGGTAAATTAAACCATACAGATATATCCTAATGCACATAGACCATTCTGAACAGTTGAGTTTAACAGCTGCTTCTACTGATTTGTTTCTTTTCGGCTAACATACTCAGTCACTCTCGAATATGGTTTTCCGACTGATGCGAGAACCCTTTACGTTTTCGATTCACACTGTTGCCGGATTCTTAATGACTAGGTTACGAACAGCACCAGTCCAATATAGCAGAAGCGATGTAGTCTGTACCCTTTATTTGGGTGCCCACGTAAGAGTACGTGGAGTACCTGCTGACGACATAGAGTACGAGATGCGTCCCTACTACATGCATTCTCGTCAAGCTCCTCTATCAAGGTCTTGAATGAAGCTTTTTAAATGTAAATGAAGCACAATGCAGATTATGGAGTAGTGCTCAAAATCAATGACAACCTACTTAAAGGCACAGTTCACGATAAAAATGACTTTTGAGACATCCCGCTAGAATGAATTAGATAGGTCTTTAAAAGCCTTAAGATGGTATCGCGTGTATCCTCGGACGAGTTTCACCAGCACTGTAGATGCTGCACCAATCGCAAGAACGTCTATGTAGGGAGTATCGCGGAAAGCTAGCTTGCGATCCCTCAGACGCTTCAGAGCTGAGCTGCATTGAAAACAAGCAAGATTTCCCATAGTCCCGCAATGCGAATGTTGCTCTACACAGAATGTTTTTCTCGGCGTAGACTCCGTATAAAAAGGAGAGCGATCGTAACGAATTCGTACTTTTTTCTCTTTCGCCTTGCTTCTACACTTTTTTTGTATTTCTCCGTATTAACTGAAAAGGGGTTTCTTCCTTTTGTGTCTTATCATCTACAAAAGTGGTTTTTTTTTTCTTTTCCCGTAGTGATCGTTGTATTTCTTCGCAGAACATTTAGTTTTTTCTCGCCTAGAGTTATAAAAGTTTGATTACCCAAGTGTGAGAGTCTGCACGACATCGACAACAGCCCGTGTGGCGCTTTTGGTAAAGAACCAAGCAATTTCAGGGAGATAAACAACTTTTCATGACCCATGTTTGTTCTGTACAGTACTGGCTTGATGTAATCAGGACTTTGCGCAGTTGCAAAAACTAAATTCTCGTCCAAATACCCCTTCCATGTTATTTTCGTTATTGCAATCTCTACCAACCTTGATTATCCCCACCATTGAGAAGCCTTAGTTTTCTCAAAATCCACGAATCTTCTCACTTTTTTCGCTACCGATGAACTGTTCCCATCCTACACTCCTGCTCTCGACTAAAAGGAGTACTTCAAAATTATCGTGGACTGTGACTTTAAAATATCTTTGAGAAATGGGAAAGTCGAGTATGGCTTTCGAGAGATGGAATGTTTTATTCGATTACCTAAGCTTTTTTATTTTTTAGTTTTTTACCCAAGAACACGCCACAGCGATCACAGCTATGACTTCGCATTTTTAGTTCATACAGTACTATGATAAAAAAAAAACCCCTAATTTGTGATTAGATTGTGCAAAATGATGAAAAATGCATCTTTTCAAGCGCCTATAAAAATGAAGATGAATCCCGTGAGAAGAGAAAAGACGGCTTGGCTTGTGTACTAGCCACTATTGTACAGCCTGTGTAGTAGTGCTTATTTTTAGTCAGCTGAGACGCTTTTACTACAGCGTTGCACCACTTCACGGTCATATCCTGGGTTTTCGTTCTGTGCCAAAGCCGAGTCAACGTGGCACTAAGAAGCGCAATTCATAAAAATGGCAAGACGAACCGACTCTCTCCTCTTTTTGCATACGGTATGTTCTATATGGCTTTTGTGCAGACATTTAGTTTGAATGATCCTTACTAAAAATCCACATCAAGGCACTGAGCGATAACTTTGAAGTACCTTTTTCAGTAAAACAAGGTAATTGTTGATTCAGAGCAGTTGCGAAACCCGCAGAATCGGTAAAATATGAATGTTGATAGTACTAGTTATCTTCGGGGCTCTACGAGATTACGATGATGAAGTTTGTGTTCAAACAAGATCTATGTCGTGTGGAATTGCAGAAAGAGTTTGCTCTGCGGCTGCCCAAAAGTGCTGCATTCTCTGGGCCGACAGCTGTTCCAGATATCAACAAATGTGCTCCACTGTTAATGGTGTGCGATCTCTGTGTCGCCGCAAAAACACGGCCGCTTCTGGGTGTGGTCTCTCATACTCTCAATCTTTGAACTTTTCATGCCCCTTATCTAGACCGATTTTCTTCTCTACAACTCCCAAATGGTCGACCGTTTTGTCGCTGGATGGACACGAAATCTGTGACAAACAAGAACTGTATTTAAATGCAAGTGTAGAACAAACCATTGAAAAAAAAATACTGAAGCAGCTGTACAAATCGTAGAACGCTCCGATTTTTCTTCGATTATTGTACTCCTAGATTACTTACTGTTGGCGAAGATGGCGAAAGTGTGCAGACCGCCCTTGCCATTGTCCAAATAGTTCTATAATTGCAAAAGGTAAAGTAAAGATGCCCATAATCAATGTTGGTGACAATGTAGATGGAGGAGAGGAGGGAAGCACAGTCTTTGACAGCACTGAGCTCTCGAATGCAGATAAGGAGGGTTAGCCAACTCCGCGTGCAAACAGTAGTGCTTGGGAACATTTCTCAAATTAGGAAACAATTTTTTTCTACTAAACCTTAGAAGGGAAGTAGCACCGAGTCAGTTGCATGCTCAATTCTTACCCCATTCCAGCTTTTCGCATGATGTAACCACCACCTGACTCACCCCTGTGCTCCTCCTTTCTGGAGCTAAAAATCGTTTCTAAGCATAAGTTGGGTCAGCTACCCCTTCCTCTCTGCTCCCAGCGCCGAGTGTTGGAAAAGAGCTGTACCCCTTCTCCAACTTTCTCACCTCGCTGTTATATACTTGAATGATGTGTCACAATTCGGCTTATTGTATAGATACAGGATCTATTCAAAATTCTGCCAATTGTGGGTATTCTTGCCTTTAAACTCGACAACATATGGGAACAGTACTTCGTGAACCAGTGTGCACACAGACCGCTGAAGGAAACACTATGAGCAGCGCCCAGTTCGTCCGTACTGTTCGTTGTCGATCCGTACCTTCCTGCTCCCATTGCAGTTTGCCCGGAGGCATCAGTCTAGAGAAGAGCGAAGTAGTAAGAGAGCTCAACTCACTTCACCTGAAGGTGAAGTAATTCGGGCCCCCAAAATACTTTGTGCGCATCTTCTCCGGGTTCGGCTTTCACCGAACATCTTAGGCTTAGAAAATAAAAACTACAAGGTACGGATGTCGGCGTGAATATTCTTTTGAAGAAGGAGATTAAAAAACAACAAACCTGATTTTCATATAAACATGACGGCTACCCTCTGTTGATGGAGAACATCTCGGCTGGTTTCATGCCCAACTAGTCTCATTAGTAATTATTAGTCCAAGTGGGCTGAAAAAGAACTGACACCTCCAAGAGGCTGCACTCTAAAAGGTATAAACAAAAACATCGGAACCATAGTTAAAATTTTAGCCCACCTGGCAGTTAGGAACACCGCTACCATATAAAAGAACGAAGATCCGGGATGAGAACCAAATTCTTACAGTGATCCTATGGTGAAATAATTCGCAGAGAGCGCAGGATCTCGCAGTGGGAACAAATAACATTTTCGCTCCACGGACACCGTAGTCGCTCGCGCGCTAAGAACAGGCAGGGAGATTTGAAATTTTGGCGGGAAACTACGGAAGTTGGCGCGGAACCGCTGCAGCCTGCCGCGGAAGAGTCAAAACTCCCACCTGGACACGGGTAGTTGGGCAGAGAAGTCACTTCTCCACACTGCACCACGACAAGTTATAGAAGGGAGGAGCTATACCAGGATTTTGTCCCTCTCCGAATTCCTTCAAAGAGTTTTCGTGTGACCATACCAAACCTTTTTTTTCGTATTAGCCGCTGCACCAATTATGAAGGAGGTCTGTGTAGTCTTTTATTTCCTTCAGAAGCATAGTTCACAGTAAAAAAGTTTCTGGGATTACTTAGGATGAACCTTTGACCATCTAGGATAGACGCTGTCGGGTCGAAAAACTGACTAAATAGAGCGCGATAGGGGTCCCAAAACCTGCTTTACGACGTGCTCCCCTAGACGAGTTGCTACAGCGTTGTAGAGGCTGTAGCAACCATTCGCACCTGGATCCACACCTTGCACGCAGGCAGTTTACTGCAGCCAGCTGTGGAACACACCTTTGAACAGATCGTAAGAATACGCCTACAGTAGACGTTGTCGATCATACCTTTTCTCTCACAAATACACAAACATACATACACCACACACACATACATACACATACACATACGCACACACACACATACACACACATACACACATCCACACGCACGAGCTACTATTTGTAAAAATTACGATTAGATTTCTACTAACGCAGTACTCGATGAACACCATTTATAGGCGAATTCGTGAAAAATTGCATAAATACTTGAATGTTCCGTAGAATTCTTCGGACACCATCATAAATGATAAAAGATAATGTCTTCGAGCTCGTCGGAGGGATGCGCTCCTCAGTCGCCTTCCATTCAGGATCGTAGTGGCGTATTGAAGGCTTACATATATGGCCTATACAATGACTTGCGGTGGCAAGCCTATGTACAGGTCAGTGCTTCTATCCTCTCAGACGAGTCTGGTACCAATTCACCGACCCAGGGTGATGGAAGGTTTGGTTGGCCTAGGCGGGATTCGAATCCGTGCCTATATGTGGAGGTAGTGCGCCACTTGCCACTATTCCACTTCCGATAAACGATAGCATCTAGTCTATAATATTTCCTTAATCGAAAACTTTCTCCGTTCGAATTCAATACCAGATTTAAAGCGCTGGAAATTAAAGGAATACTTTGTTCTAAGCCTATCTTCTTAAGCACTCTTTCTCCTCTACGATCAAATTCTCTCTTCAAAGGAAAGCAACCGATTATCAATTGTTGAAAGCAATTGGAATGAGGCATGTATGCAGTCAACGTTGCGATCACACTCACATGACGGCCTACACATTGACTTGCGGTGGCCAGCCCATGTACAAGTAAGTGCTC